ATTCCAATCACCGCCGATGACGAAAGGGATGTTAGCCTCTGCTACCACCGCGCTGACCTGCTCCAAGAAATCGAGATTGGCTCCGCTGAGCCCCAAAGTAGTATGCCTGTATACCGAGACTACCAGCACCTCCACGTTGTAGGCCAAAGCGACTCTGCAAGCCGCCACGCGCTCGCCGAGGAACCGATGCTGGTATCCTGCTGCGCCAAATTGACTGCGGACCAGCACCGCCGTGCCTGCTGACGATTCTCTGTCCGTTAACCCTGTGCTGGCCGCTGGCTGAAAAGAAGAAGCGTACCCCGCCTGATGGGCCCAGGCCCTGGGGGCTTGGATCTGACGTTGAAGCAAACGGTGCTCTTGGACCAGAACGGCATCATGCACAGTGCCCTTGACTAGCTTCGACCATTCCAAAAACTTCAGGCCAGTCGACCAAGCGTTCGAGTTGTAGGTGACCAGAGAGAAATGTGAAAGAGCCTTGCTAACTCCTGGTGGGGGGCGGCGGCCAACCGCGAGCAGAGTGGGAGGGGTCGCTCTCGTCGGGGGCTGCGCCCCGCGCACCCGCGGCGCCGACGAGAGGCTGGGCACGACCAAAGGGATCGCCCACCCGCATGTCTGCGGCATTGGTCAAGAGCCCGCTACCCGCGCCTCCCTTTAGGGTTTGCCGTTGTGGCCCCCCAAGGACGCCAGTGCGCCCCAAAAACGGTGGCCACCGCCTCTGCCCCTTTAGGGTCTGCCCCACGGGCTCCCCAAGGACACCTTGGTGCCCCGATGCCATCCTTCGCCAATCGTGAGAGTTGTAGGTGACCTGAGAGAAAAGTGAAAGAGCCTTGCTCACTCCTGGGGGGGGCGGCGGCCAACCGTGAGCAGCGTGGGAGGGGTCGCTCTCGTCGGGGGCTGCGTCCCGCGCATCCGCGGCGCCGACGAGGGGCTGGGCGCGACCAAAGGGATCGCCCACCCGCATGTCTGCGGCATTGGTCAAGAGCCCGCTACCCGCGCCTCCCTTTAGGGTTTGCCATTGTGGCTCCCCAATGACGCCAGTGCGCCCCAAAAACGGTGGCCACCGCCTCTGCCCCTTTAGGGTCTGCCCCTCGGGCTCCCCAAGGACACCTTGGTGCCCCGATGCCATCCTTCGCCAAGAAGCCCCGTCAAAGACTGGACTCTGTGTTGTGGGCGCGAGCTGCTTCGACCAAGGCTTTGACCTTCTCGGGGTCCCGCTGCTTTGGGTGTGGTGCGCCTGGGCCCCCAGCGGCTGAAGGAGCAGCACCAGCGCCAGCAGCGCCTGCAGAGCTCGCTGACCCAGTGTTGGCCGTCGCACCTGCCGTCTCCGCTGGTGCTGCTTCTGGTGCCGGCGTCGCGCCTCCACTTGAGTCCTTGCGGGCCCTCTTGCTGGCGAGCCGCAGACGCATGTCTCTAGCTTCTTGCCTGAGTTTCTGGATGTGCTCAGCGCTTGGCCCGATAGCTGCCAGGATGGCCTGCTGGATCTGTGACGCCATGTTGGCTTTGAGGTTTGTCCAGCTTTCCCTGTCCGCATCATCGAGCTCCAGGTCCGAAAGGTCGAGCACGGACCCATCCACGATCTCAACGGTGTCGATGCCCCCTTCGCCCGTGAGCAACTCCGACAAGTTGATCTGGGAGCCTGCTGGCTTCGCGGCTGCCTCCTCTGGTGGGCAAGGTCGGTGCTCGCCTGCACGCTGAAGCTCAACCCGTAGCTCATCCTTCCACGCCTGCTCCGCGTCGCAGGCTTCGACGGCTGCCTCCGCTGTGGCGGCCCGCAGCTCCTGGAGCCACCGTGCCGCCTCGTCCTCCTTCGCCACGCACTCTCGTAGCCACTTCTGGGCCCTGCGGCAGGCCACCCCTTTTGCTGAGACAGTCTCCTCCAGCAGGGGCTCTCTTGGAGGGGCCTTCGTCTGTTGCGGTGGCGCCAAGGCCTGCTGGAGCGCCGCCATCTCCGCAGTCGCCGCGTCCCCGACCCTGGCCTTGAGCTCGTCCAAGAGGGCGTCAGTGGTCGGCGGAGAGCCTCGCTGCGGAGGAGTGGAGGTGCGGGGCGGCGCCAATCTCCTAGGCGGCGCTCCCCACTGCGGCCACGTGCCTGGCGGGTAGGGCGGCGACCCCGCACCCGCAGGCGGCTGGCCGCCTGCTCCATGCGGCGGGGAGGCCCACACACCCTGGGCGACTCTCCAAGGCATCTCGTTCGGGAGGAGCGTGGCCTGGCAGGTGTAGCAGAACGTGTTTGTCTTGAAGTTCCATCTGTACCTGCACGCCGAGCAAGTGAGATATCCTTTAACATCCTTCGGCATGGGCTCCTGCAGGAGCTCACTGGAAAGAGAAACGTGCCCGTGCTGGCACAGAGGTTACTGTATCGCTGGATGTGGCCTGGCTGGTAGTGCCAGGAGAAAGCAGGTGGGGCCGCTGGATCCCCTTGCCAGAATCTCAAGTGCTGAGCGAAACCGCTACGGACTTGAGCCAAAATGGCTACGGAGGAGGAGGAGGAGGAGGAGGAGGAGGAGGAGGAGGAGGAGGAGGAGGGGGGGGGAGGAGGAGGAGTAGGAGGAGGAGGAGGAGAGGAGGAGGGAGGAGCAGGAGAGGAGCAGGAGCGAGGCGGAGGAGGAGGAGGAGGAGGAGGAGGAGGAGGAGGAGCGAGGAGGAGGGTGAGAGGAGGATGAGGAGGGAAAGAGAAGGAGGAGGAAAAGGAGGAGCAGGAGCAGGAGAGGAGGAGGAGGAGTGAGGAGGAGGAGGAGGATGAGGAGGGAGGAGGAGGAGCAGGGCAGGAGCAGGAGGAGGAGGATGAGGAGGAGGGGGGGGTGAGGAGGAGGTTGCGGAAAAGGAGGAGGGAAGATGGGGAGGAGAGGGAGGGGAAGGAGGAGGGGGAGTGGAAGGCAGTGTCCCTCTTCCAGAGGGATGGGGAGGGGGGGCAGGAGGAGGTGGAGGGTGGGGGTGGAGGAGGGGGGGAAGGAGGTGGAGGAGGGCGACCCTCCTACAGGTAGGGGGAGGGGAAAGGGGCGATGCGCGGGTGGAAGGAAGGTGAGGGCGGCCTTCCCCCCCCTGCGCGCGCTCGCGTTGCGCACGGAGTACGGCAGCAGGCGCCGCCGGCGACGGCGCCCGGGCGGCGGCGGCGGGGCCGCCGCCACCGTCCGCTATGGAGGTGGATGACGGCCCCGCGGCGAGCGGCCCGCCGCCGCCCGCCCCGGCGGAGGAGGACCGCCACCGGCTGCCGGCTGGCGCCGCCCGCCGCCGAACGCCGTGCCCGCGCGCGCGGGCCGCCCGCGCTCGCGCAGTCCAAGGGCTGGCCCCCGGAAGAGCAGTGCGGCGGTTGCTTTTGTGCTGCGCCCTCGGGCGCCCACATGGCCTTCGGAGGAAGCGATGATGATGATGATGATGATGATGATGATGATGATGATGATGATGATGATGATGATGATGCTGATGCTGATGCTGATGATGATGACATGATGATGATGATGATGATGATGATGATGGTGGTGATGATGATGGTGATGATGATGATGATGATGATGGCGATGGTGATGATGATGAAGAATAATACTATGATGGCGATGGTGATGATGATACTGGTGCCGTTGTTGATGATGATGATGCTCATGATGCTGCTATCGATGATGAGGATAATGACGAAGACAAGTACCATGATGATGGTATTGTTGTTGTTGTTGTTGTTGTTAAGTATGATGCTGCTGCTGCTGCTGCTGATGATGATGATGATGATGCTGGTGATTAACATGATGATGATGATGATGATGCTGATGATGATGATGATGATGATGATGATGATGATGCTGATGATGCTGATGATGATGATGATGATGATGATGATGATGCTGATGATGATGATGATGATGATGATGATGATGCTGATGATGATGATGATGATGAGGAGGAGGAGGAGGAGGAGGAGGAGGGTGACGAGTATGACGACGACGACGAGGATGGTGCTGATGATGCTGATGCGGACGATGACGACGATGATGATGGTGATGATTGATGTTGTTGCTGATGTTGATGTTGGTGGTGGTGACGACGCTGCTGATGACGAGGATTATGATGATGACGATTGTGTGAGTGATACATATGATGAGGAAGACGATAATGGTGAGGTTGATGAGGATGATGATAATTGTGATGATGAGGAGGATGAGGATGAGGGTGATGATTCGGAGGAGGAGGAGGAGGAAGTGAAGGATGATGGTGATGATGATCCTGATGATGCTGATGATAATGTGGTTGTTGTTGATGATGATGATGATGATGATGATGATGATGTTATAAGCGATGATGATGACGATGCTGATGCTAATGATGATGACGATGCTTACGATGATGATGATGATGATTTTCTTGTGGCGATAACTCTCGTTATCAGAAAGTACGGCTGACTGGCATGGCACCGAGCTGCAACAGACTGGAGCGTGCGTGCGTCTGCGAACTCCCCGCTCAGCCGACCCAGCTACGGACAAACGCGATGATGTCCCTCCTGGGAGATGCCAATGAGCAGAGGGTCAACCATGAAAAACTCCACGGCATCATACGTGCTCTCGCAACTCCATGAGCCATCACGTCCGTAAACGCCTCACCCCGCGCTGGAATGCCCACGGAAGTGCCGCCAGAAGAAAGCTTGCCCCCGCCGACGTTGGTGAACTCCAGACTTCGGGTGGTGCTGAGGATAAGGCGGCCGTAGCTCCCGTCGTCCCCATTGAACCTATGGCTAGATTGCCCACGGCTTCAATCGCCAAGTACTTCAGGTAGCTGTAGGTCATGAAATCCCGTGGTACAAGCTGGTAACCGACAACGCCTCCGCAGATGAGGGTGAGGATAGCCAGGAAAAGGAACATGGAAGTAGGTAAAATGACCACGCCCTGATAAGTTTGTTCTTCTTTTTTATGAGGTACGACTGTTCGGACAGAGACCTCTGAGCAAGGGTCAGCAAAAATGGAACCAACGTCGGAATCACTGTCGGCAGCTTCGTGGTGAACTTCGATATCTCCTCAGCCCATCTTCTGCACCAACTGGAACAGAAGGCGTGCCCGTTCTTCTTTTGCTCTCGGTACCTTGGTCGTGGGGCCACCCATGCGCTTGATGCCCTCGTCCAGGCGCTGCACGACGGCCCTCTGCGACCACTTGCTCCCGATCTCTTTGATAAGCTCCTCAAGCGTGCCCTCGGTGAGCTTCACCTTGTGGTCCAGCTCCGCGCAGATGAGGTGGCGCTGGAGCAGGGTGAGCACCTCGGGAGCGGTGCCCACGGGGGCGACGGCGCCCGCGGGGGCGGCCCCCGAGCTCCCACCAGTAGGCGCAGTCTGCGGGGGCGGCGGCGGGAACTCCACCGTGGGTGCCGTGATCGTGACAGCACTCGCCATGGCCGCCTGCAGGCCTGGTGCCAGAGCCTCCGCCAGGATGCGCCCCTGCCTCGCGAATTCCTCGTCCCTCTTCTCGGCCTCCTTGGTCCTCACGTACTCGCGGTACGACGGGTCCTTCTTCCACATGATGCGCTCCGCCACCTTCAGCTGCTTGTCCGAGTCGTAAGACGACGAAGATGTAGTAGACGAAGACCTCGGTCTCTTCTTATCCTTCTCGCTCTTCTTGCCCATGCGACGGCTCCGATCGCGTCCGCCATCTCTTGAGTCTTCTTGTTGATCACGTTTGGCCCAAGGCCACCGATACCGGTCTGCTCCAGGTTCGTTCCGTTGATCGTAGCCCTGGCCACGGCCACCGCCTCCTTAGCTGCCGCCTCCCATCGCCCCAAGGGAAGGCAGGAACAGCTTGCCCCACGAGCGCAGTGCCCGCCTTACGAGCCGCACGGCTGGGGACGGAGGCAAATAATGAGATAATGCACGCACAACCTCGCAGGGATAAGACAACTTGATAAGCTCGATAAACAACTCCATGATGCAAACATACAGGGCTCCCGTCGGTAACTCAAGAGTGACCCTCCTCGCGATTTTGCCCAGGAAGACTCCCCGAAGACGTGTAAAAGGTACGGGTAGATGGTCCAGGTAGGGCAAGAACGCTGATGAATGAGATGGTGACCAGCCTGCCAACCATTGCCGATTAAGATTTTTTAGCGTCCACTGAATGCACTGGTGGCCCAGGTGGATCTCAAGGTCGAGCCAGGTCACACTTCTGGAGCTGGCGCTGCTTAAGAAAACGATGCTGATAGGCTCCCTGAAAGTCGCTCGCAGACAACGAACCATGCACGTCGGACACAAACGATACGAGAACGACAAGATATCATCCACATACCTTACCCACGCAAAAACAGATAGAACATCTGGTCCAGGAAAAATCCAGCCCTCGAAATCGAGTTTGTGGGGGTCTTCCAGAACGCTTGCCTCTTCATCGCCCAACTGAACTGCTACAGCTGCTGAACTCATAACTCCTCCTATACATAAACCCAGCATCTCGACAACGACCTCCCCCACGCATGCTAAACTTATCATTGTCGACGCTTTCAGGGCGTAGCCAAGCTGAGATAAGGACAGGGCCCACCAGGCGCGATTCCATCGGGAGGGACCGATGCGGGTGACGCATTTGCGCCCCCGCTGCACCATCACATAATCAGTTTTCCACCGTTCTTGAAATCTCCTTGCTGTTCTCCCCCACGCACTCTTGACCGACTCACCTTTGCATGCCTCGAAAGCCTGATCTACGTCTACGGCTGCACACGATAAGGCCATCCAACTCGGCCCCGCAGCACTCACAAGACCACCCGCAGCTCCCCTCGTCAGTGACGGCACGTTCAGGGGGAGTGAGGTGGCTCAGGGTCTCCCTCAGCGCGGGGACGACGTCGTCCATGCTGAAGACTTCTCTGGAGCGGCCCGTGCCAGCCACGACCGCACGCACGGCCCGCCCCATGGTCCTCCAGCTCTTCGCGAACGGGGTGCCCGCCATGTCCACGACGCGACGGACGCAGGAGTGGCCCGCCTTGGTGCAGACGTGGCCGCCCCGCGGGTGCCAGCACTTGCTCTTGACAAAGGCGAAGACCTGAGGGATGCGGGAGGCCACTTGCCGAACTCGCCGTCGGAGAAAATCTGGAAGACCAAGGATGGCGCGTGCCTCGGCCCATACGAGGCACGCGGATGGGCACATCTCTGGACGGAAACGCCAGGACTCCGTGTCCTTGGCCATGCCGAGCAGGAGGTGCGAGGCGTACTCTTCGGTCTTGGTGCTCCACGCTCGGGTGTGAAGTCGATCATCATGTAGGAAAGTGGTTGACGAACTCAATGATATAGCCATACGTGTTTCTTCCTTGAGCCAAGCCTTGGGTGCTTCGGGACAGACTTGGCGGGATACCAGGTTATCTAACGCTGCACGACATCGTCGTTGAACTCTGGGATGAAGACGCTGTTGCGAACACCAATGATGCATAGCTTTCAGGGCTGTTCTCTTGATCCGTCGCGCTGTCGGCCACCGCTTTAGCCTCCACGGAGCATCATAAGCCACCAAAGAGGGAAGTTGGGCCCATCGTCCAAGATCTGAAACTTCCGAATCGGATACCCAAGTTTTTGGTAAATCTCGAAGAACTCGTTTTCCATTCAAGCGCTGAATCCATGTCTGGTCCTTTTGATAGCATATCTTAATGAGTTTCTGGAGCCACGATCTCGCTGGTGCCACTCGTATTTCCTGTAAGGGTGACCATACAAGCTTCTTGACCACATTCTTGTGTTTTCGCAGAAAAATTGGCAACAAGACTGGACGTACCTGTAAAGGTGGGAGCCGTAGTCGCCGAAGATGCCATTCAAGATTGCGTCGAGCTGCAAGTTGACGACCCATACCCTTCACGTATTTGGTCAGAGAGCCCCCTGCACGATATAGAACAGAGGCGGCCTGAGCACGATCCCATGCTGGTGGAAATTCAAGTCGTGGTTTGGCCGAGGCGAAGAATGCCAGGAACAGATTGGTCCACTGCGGCTGCAAGATTGATAGTGGACCATGCTCACCTGACGTAAGTAGAATGTGTAGCTGTACTCGTTGATACAGGGTCCTCCACGGACCCCAGCTATCAGAAATGCAATTCACCTTCTCCTCATGTTTGAGCTTCTTGTTAAAGGCGTTCTGCACAGGATGCGCAAGCCAGGCTGATGAAACCGACGCGGTAGCACGAAACCGCTTATGGGGTCGCCGACGTCGGACTGGTGGTTTTAGGCGTAGAGGATCTGCTTGCTGTGTCGTGGCCCGCAGCTGCGCCACATCCAGACCGTTGCACGGCGGGTCTAGCATACCAATGAGGCTGGACTCCATGGCCAGGGCGCGCACCTCGGACTCGAAGTGGTACACCGGTAGGTAGGCCACCGAGCCCAACGACTCCCGCAGCAAGCGATACCGTGCAATCTTTCCGTCTCGTGTGGCTGGTGGGCGGAGTGCCCGTAGGTGCTCCATAGCGCGGGCCGCGATGCCCGAGGGGATCCCCGAGCGGCGTTGGCCGTTGCACTTGCCAATATAGAAACCAGAGTGAGCAAACAGGATGTAGATGTAGGTGACACTCTTGGGCTCCAGGATGTCCGCGTGGACCTGCTTGATGTAATCAATACCCTTCTGCTGAACCGCTGCCTGCACTAACGGTGGTAGTGCATGCCAAACACGTCGAGCCCAAGACACCGGTCGGCTCCGTACCTGAGCTTTGTGAAGACACGCCATCGCGAGAGTTGACCAAACCATTGCCAAGTTCTCCCCGAGGCCCGTGGTATTACGGCCTGCGACCTGCTGGGGGCCCGCGATCTGGTCAGCCAGCTCCGCGATGGCAAACGACAAAGATGGGATATCGTTCTGTTGCAATCTGCCAATTGCCCATTCAGATACCTCGGCTCCAGCTCCGCGTCCAGGGTGAAGAAGAGCCGCATGAATTTGTTCGACTTGTTCTTGAGGCCACTGGCCATGGTGAGAGGGACGCGGCCAAGGTAGCCTGACAGGCATCAGTGGGTAAACTCCGCCACTGAAAGTATGGATTGAGCCCTGCACGACCGTGAACCCGTGTTCGGCCACGCGCAGGAAGAAGATGATTTTCTTGTGGCGATAACTCTCGTTATCAGAAAGTACCGCTGACTGGCATGGCACCGAGCTGCAACAGACTGGAGCGTGCGTGCGTCTGCGAACTCCCCGCTCAGCCGACCCAGCTACGGACAAACGCGATGATGATGATGATGATGATGATGATGATGATGATGATGATGATGGTGCTGATGATGATGATGATGATGATGATGATGATGATGATGATACTGATTATGCTGGTGGAGGTTGTGATGCTGCTGCTGACGATGACGATGATGAGGATGATGAGGATGCTGATTGTATGTCGATAGTGATGATGACGACGATTATGGTGATGGTGATGGTTATGGTGATGATGATGAGGCTGATTCTGATGATGATGCTGATGATCATGATGATGATGCTGATGATGCTGATGATGATGCGGATACCTTTGATGATGAGGAGGACAACTATGTTGGTTCTGGTGGTGGTAATGATGATGATGATGATGATGATGATGATGATGATGATGATGGTGATGGTTATGTTGATGTTGTTGATGGTGATGCTGATGTTGTTGGGAGCGATGATGATGATTATGATTATGATGATGGTGGTGATGGTGAGGATGATGATGATGATGATGATGATGATGGTGATGATGATGATGATGATGATGATGACGATGATGACGATGATGATGATGATGATGATGATGATGATGATGATGATGATGATGATGACGATGGTGTTGTTGATGATGATATTCATGCTGCTGCTGCTGCTGCTGATGATGATGATGATGATGATGATGATGATGATGATGATGATGATGATGATGATGAAGGTCCCACTGGCTCGTGGACCGGCAGCGCGAGCTACGGTCGTTAAGGAGGTCGTGGTGCTACTGGCGCGTGGACCGACGAAACTGACCGTTGGAACACTTGCGGCCCGTCTGGCGGCTGGCACGGAGGAGCTACAAGTGAACGAGGAGATCGAAGGTAGGCCGTGGGACACTGCGAAGGCGTCGGCTGCCCCATAGCTCGCCGCGGGGGGAGTCGTTACTCTCGCTCCCCCCTGCCTGTTTCATGTGCGAGCCTGCGGGCGCGTTTCCGTGCGTTTGGCTCAAGACAACCGTTGCGAGACTGGGACGCGAAGCGTCCTAGCAGAACAGCGGTGCGCGTGCCATCCACTTAGCGCGCGAGTAGCGTCATCCTCTCCCACACTCGCTCCACGGAACACTGCAGCCATGAGTCAAGACGTCGCGAAGGGAACATTTGTCGACAGCGTCTTGGAGCAGGGAGCCCGTGAGCTAGAATGTCAGGGTAAGGGACATGCCCAAATGTCAGAACCGAGAGGCCATATCTCAAAGGACCCTCTTTCCTTCTCCTCCTCCTCCTCCTCCTCCTCCTCCTCCTCCTCCTCCTGCGCTCTCCCCCCTTGCCCGCGGCGTGCCGAGGACGGCGCGGAGGAGAGCGAGGACGAGGAAGGCGGCGGCGGCGGCTCGTTCCCCTGGGGGGGGGGCGGGGCACAGGGGCGCCAGCGCCTCCGATCGCCGGTGCCTCTGACGGCGAACCCGCGGCGGCGCCCTTTTCGGATGCTTCTGCGGGCCACCTCGCAGGCCGCGTCCCGCATAATATGGGGCTCTCCAGAGAGGGCCTCGCCTTCGAGGGTCGTAGGGGGGAGTTGCTGCCTCTTCCTCGGCGGAAGGGCGGGAAAAGGGCTG